TACCTCATGGAGGGGCAGACCTAAGGCAGGCCCTGCAGATGAGGAAAAAGTGGAGAGGAGGTGTGAGCAGGGAAAGCCATCAAATGCAAGGAATTGTCAGGATAAATGGCCCAAGTATTAAACTCTTGCCAACCATAACTATTTGCCTTACTGAGAGATTGGCTGGGACTTAAATAGGAAATAGAAAAAAGATTAAATGAAGCCCAGAGATTTCAGCCAGAGATTGCCAGGTTTATTTGAAGGTAATTTATATAATAGTGACCAGCAGCTCCTCTCAGAAACTCGGTTGTGATGTTCCCTGGCTTCAGTGGGATGCGTGCTTTGTGGAGCGAGGACCGTATTTGGCCCGTGCTGGAAATTCCTGCTTTAACAAGCCATTTTGTTCTACTTTGAAATAAAGTGAGAGTGAAAGCCATGCCCCATGATGCTTCATGGTTAATAAAACTGTAAAGGCATTTCTGCCTGGGCATAAAGGATTATTTTAAGCATCATCTCCTGGGCTCCTTGGTTACTAAGGGAATCCTGTCTCAGCTCAGCAGCGCGGATGGGCGAGTTGCCATGACGATCCTGCTAGGCCTGGTTGAAGTCTAATATCACAAATAGAGGAAGCACTGTCACTGCATGACCCCTGAGCAGCCTGACAGTGCCCTCCCTGCCCCTTGCAGTTCACAAATTCCTCCTCGTGGACCTACCCCAGCTGCCCAGTCCTTGCCACTGGGGACCCAGGCACAGTGGAAGGTGAGCTAAAGGTCGGCAGCTCACGCTCCTTGCTGGTAAGTCTCCCCTTCTGTCCCAGATTGTGTTTTTCATGCTGGGTCATAATCAGGTCCCCATATCCTCTTGGGCACATACAATCCTTCAAGCCTGACCTTTGTCTTTCTGAAAGGAGGAAATACAAGATATCTGTGCAGAAGCTGCACTTGGGAGCAGAAGAAAATATGAAGTAAACCTTATTTTTTCTCCTTTTTAAGTCAGCCAGACATAATCTGAAGCTTTTTTGCAGGATAACTGTCATGGTAGTCAGCAATTGGTCAATCCCTGCAACTATCTAGCTGCAGCTACATTCTTTCACATGCTCATACACTGGTGTCTGTGGTTCTAAAGGTGACTGCAACAAAGTCTTCCTTCCCATGTGCCCTTTTTACCATGTGCTTTTGCCATGGTCACATTCTGGGACAGGTCTACGTTTCTTCCCCTTAAATCTGGGCCAGATTGTGGCTGAAGTGAAGTGATACTATGTGACTTCCAAAGCAATGTTATAAAAAGGTAATACAGCTTATATCTAGTTTTCTTGAAATGCTTGTTCATGGAACATAACCACCACAGTGTGAGGAAGCCCAAGCAGCCACATGTAGAGACCGCATATAGGTGTTTCAGCTGACAGCCCAGTTGAAATCCCACTTGATAGCCATCGTCTACCACCAGTTATGGAGTAAATGAGCCTGCAGATGGTTTTGGCCCCCAGGCTTTGCATCATTCCAGCTCAGGTCCCAAACATCATGAAGCAGGGACAAGTCATCCCCACTGTGTCTTTTCTGAATTCCAGGTTAAGAGAAGCCGTACAAGTAACAAAATCGTGATTGTTCTATGCCAAAAAGTTTGGGGTGGTTTATTACCTAGCACTAGTTGCTAGAACTATGTTCCTTCTATTTCTAATGTTCTTTCTCTACTATACTCCAAGGAAATTTGACTCTTCCCTCAAAGAATAATTCAGATGTTTCCTCCTCTATGAGTATGAGATCCAGGTACTTTGTACATATACCTCTACTTTGGCATTTACCATTTTGTCTGTTTATCTCCTCTGTCTTCCCTGCTACATTGGACTGAGGTTTTTGTCTTGATGCTTTAGAGTAGAAGCAAAATAGCAGAGTGACTGGAGGTTTTAGAGCCAGACAGACTTATTTTTGAATTCTAGCTGTGTTACTTATTAGCTAAGTGGGCAAGTTACTCTCTGAGTTATATGCAACCACACACGTAAAATCATCAACATAATTATCACTAGTGTCAGGAGAAACTTTGATGGTATCTATTTGGAGCCAAGTACCTGGCATATAAAATGCCCAATAAATAAGAGGTATTATCATTATTATTTTATTATCCCCTATATTTAGTAAGGTGTGATTTAAATACATCTGATTATTTAACTGATATTTGTTAAATATCTACTAAGAACTGTATATTTCATAGTTGATATTTAACAAGAGTTTTTTTAATGTACAGATGTACAAAATAAACTAATTGGCAATGTATTTATATTTTTAATGTGTATAGGCCTGCTTACCAAGAATTATTTTCTCATAACTCAAAAAGAAACTTGCAAATAGAACAGTTATTTTTTTCTTGATTTCATGTCTCAAAATGTTCCAAAATCAAGGTCTATTTATTCTATGAGTTACCAGAATTTTGAACTGTGGAATTAATGGTTTATATTAGTTTTCTATTGCTGCCATAACAAATTACCAAAAACTACGTGGCTTAAACAACACAAATTTATTATCTAACAATTTTAGAGGTCAGAAGTCCGACACAGATCTCACTGGGCTACTAAGAAGGTGTCAAGAGGGTTACATTCCTTTTTGGAGGCCCTAGGGGAGAATTTATTCCTTGCTTTTTCCAGCTTCAGAGGTCACTGCATTCCTTGCCTTGTGGACCTCTTCCCCATTTTCCAAGCCAACAATGGCAGGTCAAGTTCTTCTTGCATTGCACCTATCTTACCCTTCTTCCTTTATTACCTCTCTCTCTCTCTTTCTCTCCCTCTCTCTCTCTGCATCCAGGAAGATGCTCCAATTTTAAGGACTCATGATTAGTTCAGCAACAGTGCCTACTAAGGGGTTTTATTGAGTCAAGGTCCCCAACCTGGACCAGAAGAGATCTGGCACTAGGGGAAAAGGTTAGACTGAATGGCTGCCTCCTCAAACCTCACAGACCACTGTGTGTGATATGTTTTCCTTACCAATTTTCCTGTATAGTCTTAGAGGAATTCCAAGGCAAGGGTAGTAACAGATTTATCACAGAGAGTGAAAGAAATGAAATGTCTAAAAGCACAAGCTCTATGGTCATGCTGCTAAGATTTAAATCTTTGCTCTACCACTTACTAGCTGTGTGACCTTACTTAAGTTATGTAATCTTTCTGTGCCTATTTTCTCAACTGTAGAATCTAGATAATTATAGTATTATCACATGTGACTGTTATAAAGATTAAGTGAGAAAATATACTGAGAGAGTGGAAATGAATCCTGTTAGTAATCAGACTGTAGAATATCAACACAATATTTCTAACAGACCATACCACAGACCACACCACTGTTACAAAGTGACTAATAATTTTGAGTGATTGCTGCTTTCTTACCAACGTCATTCCCACTCTCACATTGTTCTTCCAGTCTCTAGAATAAAGATAACTGAGATGTCCAGTTGCTGAACTGCCCTTGCTTCTTGATAGCATCCATTCCAAAACAAGTCCTTGCTTCCCTGATTCCACCTTAAAGTTACCCAGCGTAGTCCAAATCTCATAACCAGCCCTTCCAAGCTCACTCTTATAGGTATCTCCTCAGCAATGTGCTGTCTTTTGCTGCATCAAGCTAATTAAACTTAACTTTGTGTGAGTTTAGATGTTCTCCTAGTGGTCTTTGGCTAATGGGCTTCCATAATACCGAACACATACTATAGCACACTATATATACACAAGAAATGCCAGCTATTGGTAGTAGTATGGAAGTGTTTTTATTCTCAGCTTCTTGTTTGTAGCATACCTCAAGACATGTTCGATCAATGAAAGACCATTCTTAAGTAACTGGGAATCCAGGTAGCACAGCTAGGATGAGATACAGATTTTGCTCCAAGGCCCAAAGTGTTATTAAAAAGTGTTTAAGGCAACTGCAAAGGCAATGGATAGAATGGAAGGACAAGCAAAGCAAAGATTTTTACCCTACTGAAGTCCAAGTAGTAGCCAGGAATTGACTGTTGCCTGGACCTTTTAAGCCAGGCTAGCCAAATCTCTAATAAGAAGAGAAGGTAGAAATAGCTAAACTTTTAAGTTCTTATTTCCGAATTCTTACAAAGATCCATTTGACAAATAAGGAAATGGACTTCTGGAGTAATAGAATGTTGTAGTCACATACATGATGATTAGGCTGCATCTGCAACACAGGACAGGGGTTTGTTTGTATAGAATATGTATTGGCTAACTATTGCTGCATCACAAATCACCCTAAAACTTAGTGACTCAAACAACATCAATCATTTATTTTCTCTGGCAATCGCTCCTAGTCAGGAATCCGTGAGCTCCTTCCTTGGCTGGGTGATTCAGGCTTAAGGTCTTCTCATGAACTGGAGTCATCTGAAGGATTGCTTGAGGATGGTGGCTCCACTTCCTAGATGGCTCAGTCATGGCTGGCAAGTTGGGTCCCCTTTATATGGGTCCCTGTACAGAGCTGTTTGTGTCTGCAGGACTTGAGCTCTGGCTTTCTCCACAGGAAGCAATCCAAGAGAACAAGACTGAAGTAGCAATACGGTTTTATAACCCAGTCCTGGAAGTCTCACGGCATCACTTTGGCCATATTCTATTGTTAACACATGCCAGCCCTGTTTCAGTGCCATCTCTGCCCATCTGTCAGATGTGTTGTTTTGGACCAGCACCTAAATTCTGAGTCTGTGTTTCCTCATTTATAACATAAAAGTAACTGCTTCCTTTTAGGGCTGTATTGAGGATTAACCAAAATAAGATTAATAAACGCAGTTTAGCACGGTGAGTTGCCCCACAGCGGGCACTTTTAGAAGTGATTTCCCTTTCCTTAGCCTCCTCAGGAAGCCTGTGCTTATTCTTCTAAAGTTTACCCCTGGAGAGGCAAGTTAGTCCTTACCCATGCAACCTACCCAAACTTGGATCCAAAGTAGGACTGTTGTAGAGGCGGAACTCTAGTTTTGCGTTGCTGACACTAGTGTCCGGAGCTTATTGCGAACGGACAGGAAGTGACTCTGGCGTCTCTTTTTCCGTCGCAGAGAGCTTCGGCGGACAGCTAGTGGGACGATTCACCCGGAGTTTCTGCGACCGCGTGGCGGTGGCGTAGGGACTCTGAAAGTAGAGCGGCAGGGTGCCGGGAGGTATCGCGAGCCGTGCCGTCCCCAGCCACTCCATGCCGGGTTGGAGGCTGCTGACGAAGGCAGGCGCCCTGGTGCTGGGTCGCGGCTCCGGTGGCCTGGGTGCTGCCGCTGGCTCGGGGAACAGGTGGGTTTGGTCAAGAAAAGGGGAGTGGGAGGTGTGCTGCCTGCACAACTGAAGCCTTGAGGAGTGACGTAAGCCGGCGCAGATACCACCCGCGCCCTCCGGCCCCCTGGGTGAAAGAGGAAGGGGCTCTGTCCGGACGTGGGGCACAGAATAAGGACCCTTGCCTAAGCACCTAAAGGATTGAAGAGGTGATTTTTTAAAAAAAATGCTTATGAGCCACCGGCTAGCAGCCAACATTATCAACAGCAATAATAATATTTTCCAATTAGCGTTTACATGTACTAGACGCTTTGTTAAGTGGCGCCTTATGTCATGTAGCATCAGGTGAGCAAACTACTATCATGAGGTTTAGGGGTAAAACTGAAGTTTAGAGAGGGGAAGTAACTTGCCCAAAGTCACTCAGCTAGTAAGTGGAAAATTTGGACTCTAATCTGAATCTACTTGACTACAAAAGGAAGATAGACTGCAGGAAGCTTTACTTCCATCCTCACCCTCGTGCAAAAATTACACACCTCCATCCTGGCCGCCACCCACCAAGGTCTTTCTTAATATGTTCAACTTGTTAGAGGTCATGTCTTTTGTGGCTCTTTTAACTTTGCACAGCCAGTCTCTTCACTTCTCTGAGCCTAGCCTAGATCATGTCATTGCAGGGAGGAGGTGAGCTTATCTGACAAAGATCAGATGGCACATTCTGCCACCTCCACTGAATATAAAACTATTAAGGTACACATTCAGATGGGTTAGTGGCTTCTCATATATGTAGGTTGGACTTCGTTAGGACTCTGTTTATCTGAGAGGAGAAGATGAACTTTTTCTCCAGGGTAACCATGGATAGTTGAAATGTGAGCCATATTATTATTATAAGGAATGTCAGGAAAAAACTTGTGCAGAATCCAAACGCTTTCCTAAGGGCCTGACTACACCTTCCAACACATGTGACCTCCCTTTCCTGCATTACATGAGGGAACCTTTTGAATTATGGTTTGGTTGTTTTTTTATTTTTACAGAACAAACATCTGGCTTTTTGTTAGAAGTCTCCATGGCAAGAGTGGTACTTGGTGGGATGAGCATCTTTCTGAAGAAAATGTCCCATTTATGAAGCAGTTAGTTTCCGATGAAGATAAAGCCCAGTTAGCGAGTAAACTATGTCCTCTGAAAGATGAACCGTGGCCTATACAGCCTTGGGAACCAGGTGATTATTTTGTATTTGATGAATTCTCATCTCCTAATTGTGGCTGAACACATTCAAAATCCTAGTGACTGCTTGATAAATTTATCATCTCATAAAGTTATTTTTCATGTCTTCACTGTATCTGTTTTATTGTGGTTTGGTTTGCAAGTTTATTTTCAGCCTCCTAGCCTACTTTTAGTGAATGATGATAATAAAGACCCCCTGGAGAAACCTGTAGATGAAAGGAGAGTCATTGTGCATACATTCTCTTGTTTCCTTCAGCTAAAAAGATTACAAAATAAGTCAAGGAAGAAAGGCTGGGAGATTATGATGTAAATTATAATGTGTTGCACAGATATTTTCAGTTGGGATGTTCTGGTACTCCAGATTTGGCAAGCATAACCCCCAAATCAGCTCTTTCTGTCTAGTGGGATGCTAAACCCATGCGTGGCCGTACCAAGAAGAATAAGGCCTTTCCTGTTGAGTGTGTAGTCCTTGATTAGACCTTCTTGTGACAGTTGTATAGTGGCCAAAAGTTCTTAGTGGAGCAACTTTACCAATTTATGCAACAAATCTAAGTGTCATGTTGGAGACTGACATATTTTAGCAATATGACCATTTATGGCATCTCTGTAGTTCCAGCTGACTTATTATAGAATTTGAGTGGCAGATATTTTCTGATGAATAAAGTTGGATATGAATTGATACTAGGAGAGCATAATGATGGGTTTATCATGCCCTGTATTAATGCCATTATTTTAAAAGTTAATATATCAACTTATCTATTTTCTTTGTTTTGTATATTTCTCATATTTGTTGATTTTACAAATATTTATCGAGTACCAATATATGATGCCAGGCATGGTTGAAGGAACATACATCTCTAACGAACAATCCTGTTTTACTCTATGGATATATTAGCATATTTCTTATGTGCCTGCTCCTTGTAGCGAAACCTCATTTTAGGAAAAACTGTTATATCATGTTGGCAAATGTTGAAAAAGCTTTTGTTAATGTTGATTTGATTTTAATTGCCAGGTTCCTCTAGAGTTGGCCTTATTGCCTTGAAGCTAGGCATGATGCCTTTATGGACTAAAGATGGTCAAAAGCATGTGGTCACATTACTTCAGGTAAAAAAAGAAACAGAATATATAAAAGATATGTACGTGTGCCAAGATCTGTTTGCTCAAACTTTAACTGGCAATGTTCGTATCCTGAAACGTAAATGCATGGTGAAGAAAAGGGTAATGTCAAACATAAATAATATTAAAGGACTTCTGATGGTTTCAGGAATATTCTGAGCCTAGTCTAACCTAGTGTCCTTCTGATACTTGTATTGGAATAACTGGGGCAATTTGTTTTTTTTAAAAAAAAGTAACCTAGCTTTTCACAGATCTGTCAGTTTAATTCATATTTGGAAAAAAATCTCAGTCTCATTCTATTTTCATTTATGGAGTTCTTTCACCTCTAAATTATATTTTTGATCATTTTGCTAATGGACTGTAATACTGTCTTGTCAGGAGAGGCTGCATTTTGTTCACTGAAATAAAGTATACTCCAGTGATTAAGAATGTGGACCCTGAAACCAGAATATCTGAGTTTTCAATTGTGGTTCTGGCATTTACTGTCTGTGTCGTTTGGGGCACTGTGCCTCATCTGTAAAAGAAATAATTATGTCCTACCTCAAAGGGTTATTGTGAGGTTTGCACAAAATGACAAATGTTAGGCACTTAAAACAATGTTAAATGTTTAATAAGTATTAGCTACTATTGTCTTTATCATTATTATTAAAGAAAGATCACTGATAAAGTTAGGAGACCGTCACTGCCCAAATCACTTTGGACAACTCAGTTAATCTTTGGGGCCTCATCTTAAACAACCGATTATACAGGTGATGATGACTAAAGTAACAGCTCATGTACATAAATGCTTAAAATGCTAACAGGGCAGAGAGAATTTCACAAACTCTTAGTAAATTTTTATTGCCTTTGAATGATCAAGTATAAGACAAGAGTTTGAAGAACTCTGAACAACTTCTGGACCTTTTAGGAACAGCTGATGGGTTTGTAAATTGGTACAACCATTTCAGAAAACAATTTAGCATTATATGGTACAGTTGAAATAGGTAAACCTTATAGGCTAGCATTTGGACTCCCGAGTATTACTGGAAAATTTGGATAGGTGTGCACCAGGATTCCTGTACAATAGCAGTTAGAGCAACATCACAGTTAATATACCAAAACTGGAAATAACCCAAATGTCTGTCACAGTAGAATGGGTAAATAAATCATGGTATATTCACCTAATGAAATGCTGCACAGCAATGAAAATGAACAAAATAGAGCTACACACAATACGGACGAACTTTACAAATACAATGTTGAGTGGAAGAATTAAGACATGGAAGAGTACATTGTAACCTGATTCCATTAATGTAAAGTTTAAAGCAGGCAACATAATACATTATTAAGCAATATTTTCAGAGGTAGAAATTATAAAGAAAAGTAAGTAAATGATTACTATAAATGTCAAGAGTTATTTCTAGGGCAGTGATTCTAAAACTTTATTTAGCCTCAGAATCATCTGGAGGGCTTATAAAACACAAAGATTCTGACTCAGTTGGTCTGAATTGGGGCTGGGAATCTGTGTTTTTACCAGGTTCCCAAAGGATGCTGATGCTGCCTGTCTGGGGACCACATTTTGAGAACTCATGTTCTACAGTAAAAACATGGGGAGGTGATTGGAAAAACACAGAGGCTTGTGGGGTTCCACTTCTTGGCATGGGCAGTAGTTGCATATGTATTTTCTTTATAAATATTCATTTAGTTACATATTTATGTTTTATGTACTTTTCTGTATGTTGTATTTGATAATTTTTTAAAAGGTTTACTTATATATTTTAAGATTGTGGTTGCTGTTAGAGGGATGGTGTTAGGACTTCAGGGAATTCCTAATTGTCCTAGGGTTTCAGTGTGGCTTGTGTGTAATGTTAAAATATATCTTGGCAAATGCTTAATTTTTTTATGTTTGTTTGTTCAGGTACAAGACTGTCATGTCGTAAAATATACATCAAAGGAAAACCATAATGGAAAAATGGCAGCCCTACATGTAGGAGGAAAAACTGTATCACGTTTCCGTGTAAGAATGTATTCTCATTCCAAGAATAGTACATTTCATTGGTTTCACATCTGAATGCTTTTATGTTTTGAGAATATTCCACAGCCACAAACTTGCATTTGTCCATGAAGTAAATTGTGTATTTGGGGACAGCAGTCTAACAGAGCCATTTTGCACAGGAGTCTGGGAGAGTTAGTTTGTTCTGGAACAAGTAACTTTACCTCTCTAAGCTGTAGTGTTTGTACCTCTGTAAAATGGGGATAAAAATACTACTTATCTAATAGGTTTATCACAAGGATTCAATGAGGTTTTCCAAATGGGCCTGGAATATAATACCCTCAGTAGATTTGATTATTTTGTTCTTGTTTTATGTTTCATTTCACTTTCTTCCTATGGGAAATTAACACTTGACACCAACAGCATGTGAGGATTAATTTTTTGTCTTCTGGAAGGAGCTTTGGGAGAAAGCTCTGTATGAACGCACATCAGATTTTTTTAAATAAAGCATTTTTTTCTAAGTAGAATATTAACAGAATGCTGAGTTTATAGTTTAAACTTGAAAAATATACCCAATAAGTATCGTCTGTTGGATGACTAAAAATAGAGAAAACCTTTCTACAAATGGTGATGCTTTTCACTAATAGGTAACGAAACATTTTTAGGTTTACTAGAACATATTGCTTATCTCTAAGACAAACATTTTTTTCATTATAAATTGTTTATAAAATGAACATGGCCAGAAATTAGGTTGACAGTTGGATAGTTGAGATACTATCCTTCTGACAAAACTAACAAATGTTAATTGCATACCTACTAATTACCTGAACCTTATTATATGCTGGGTACCTATGCATTATAAATCCAACAAGCACAGAACCAGAGATGGCCAGTTCTACCTGAGGAAATACAAGGTTTCAAAAGGAGGAGACCAGAAAGAATAGATGTTAAAGGCATGCCGAAGAGAATGGCCTCTGCAGAAGCAGAAACACGTGAAAGAGCATGTGTGCTTGGGAAGAGAAATGTGATGTGGGTGCATCTCAGTGTGCAGGCATGGACAAGTGGGGGAGGGTGGCGAAGATGCAGCTGTCAAGGTAGAGTTCAAAGGAGCTCAGACTTCATTCTGTAGACTTCGAGGAGCTTTCTGAATTCTTTAACCCAGGGCAGTAACTTGGTTAAATTGTTATCTTGATTAACTAAAATTAGAAGAATCTGATTGAAGGGAGGACTTTTTAGGAGGTGGTTTTAAGTGACTAGGGGAGAGTTGATAAACCTTTTGAAGCAAGTCAGTGGCCTTGGGGTAAGAAAGGGCAGGGATTTATAACAGACCGGGTGAGTGTGAGTGTGTGGTGAGAGGACGCAGGCATATGATTTCTAACTAAGCAACTGGGTCAGTGCTAATACTGTACTGTAACCCGGGATATAGCCAAGGAAAGGGAATTTTTGAAGGAAAGATGTGTTTGAGGGGTTCACAGAAAATCCAAGTGTGGTTGTCCTGTAAATAGTGGGAAATACTGATCAGTAAATAGGTGTTGGTTGAAATCATTGGAGTCTATTAAACTGGCTTGTTTCGTAAGTATTAGAGAAGTTAGCTATTTTTGCATGCATGGTAGCATATTCTATTTATTTCTCATTAAAGCTTTGTAGTAATGTCTGTCCTGCTCTTAATTCTTACAGTTTATTTACTAACAAACTCAGGTTTCAAATAACTCAACACTAATTAAAAGCGTGATGAGATATTT